ATTCGGCTTTTAGTTTAAAAGAAGCACTCATTTTCTTTTCGCGACCATCCGAAACAAGCATGAAACCAGTGCCATTTATTGAATCCGACAATCGGAATGGGGGTACAAAATGATCGAAAACATTAACGTCATGAGAGTCTAGCACATTTTCATTACCAGAATAAATAGGTACTATAAAATATAAATGATTTTATAATAAAATTGATAAATAAGAAAATTAGTTACGCTTACATTTAAGTTCTGCCATGGAGTGCACATCTATGTTATCCAGGCTTTCCTCCAAACAGATCGGTTGCATACAACTTTGGCACGCAAAAGAAACGGCTACTTTATCCCCCTCACTCATTTTTATATTTTACTAATAAAGCTGTAAATAATTACGTACTCAATGAACTTTACCTACATTGCCTTTTTTACGATTATGCATTCTTTGTATACGCAGTGATGGAACTAGTTTGGTAAATATATAAATTAATGTGCGATACTTTGTAATCGAAACTAAATTATGGATGTGACCGTTGGCAACTGAGTTTTGTGCACACATGCATATATACATTTAAAAATTAATATTAATAAAACTGATACATATTAAAAGCACTATTTTTTATATTATTCGCCGTCAAACATTTTTCTTACATTATTTATCTATATTTTTATATATATTATTTTTCTTATTTACATATTTTGTGAAGTATGCTTAAGTTCGATATTCAGTTTTATAGCCTGCAACCCAACAATCGGTTATATCTTAGCCCTCGCTCGGTTAACTGACCTGTTAATTTCCTCATAGCGCTACCAGGCATTTCTATTATTGACACAAAAAACGCATACGCTCACGCGTGTTATGTAGTTCCGGCTTAAGGCTAAAACAAATAATAAATTTGATTACTGCAGACGGTGTTTCAGAATTTGCTGATTCCCATGTTTCATTTGAAATTGACAGTGGTGACGGATTGAGTTTATTGAGTCCGAGAAATCAGCTGATTTTAATCGGCAATAGTGTATCAAAAGATTATACATCAAAAGTAAAATATTCAGGAAATTAATTCACTAAGTCTTTTAAAGGAATAGTTGTTTAAACAATAAACGATTATTCGGATTGGTAATCGTAAACAGTTATTATTTAGTTATTCGGGCACGGTCAAATTAGTCGTACAACAGAATGGTATCATATTTTGTACCGCGTGGGCGCTTCCTTATTAAAGCAGGCAGTTTGAGACAAGCAGCTCATTTGAAGCAAGTTCAACAACAACAGGAACAAGGAAAATGGCCCATGTTGCGTCATTTTCGCCAAACTTTTTCAACAAAGTTAGCTAAGGATAAAATAACTAACGACTCGAAACAAGCGAGTATAAAACCAATTGTTCGTTGCAACAGCAACTTGGGAAAGGCCGGCCATAAAACAGAAAATGAATTCAATAAACAAGATCTTGTGAGTCGTAGTGTTTGGACAAAATGGACCGGCTTTCTTTTACGTTGGACACCTGTTGGCATTTGTCTTTTTGGGGTTATAGAGTGGCAGCTACACAAGCAAAAACATGAAAAGGAAAACTTGCCACGTACTGCTTCGTCTCTCCAATCAAAAGTATACTGCTCCTTACCACTCCGAATAATTAGTCGATGCTGGGGCTGGTTAGCTGCGTGCTACGTACCTGTTTATTTGCGGCCATATATTTACGGTTGGTACTCAAATATGTTCGGTGTTAATTTGGATGAAGCGTTATATCCTGATTACAAATACTATAATAGCCTCGCGGAATTCTTTACTCGTCCACTACGAGAAGGTGTGCGTCCAATTGATCCCAACGCTGCCCTTATATCTCCTGCAGATGGACGAGTTTTGCACTTCGGAACTGCGCAAAACAAGTTAATAGAGGAAGTGAAAGGTATCAAGTATAGTGTATCGTCATTCTTAGGACCAGTAACATGGCACAAACGGTTAACTGGTGAATTTACGGAAGAATTGAAGGAGAATAACGATGGTACAACTGAACTTTTTCAATGCGTAATTTACTTGGCACCTGGTGATTATCATCGCTTCCATTCACCAGCTGATTGGAAACCAAAGTTAAGACGTCATTTTGTCGGCGAATTGTTATCAGTTAATCCACGCGTAGTTACTTGGCTTCCCGATCTGTTTTGTCTAAATGAAAGAGCTGTGTATTTGGGCAATTGGAAACACGGTTTCTTTAGTTATGCAGCAGTGGGTGCAACAAATGTTGGTTCGGTACAAATATATATGGATGAGAATTTGAAAACAAATCGTTGGATGGGTTTAAAATTTGGAGAACATAGAGATCGTCATATTTACGATGAAATTGAATTAACGGATAATAAAAAGTTCGGACGAGGTGAACTGCTGGGACAATTCAATATGGGAAGCACCATTGTGCTACTGTTTGAAGCACCTAAGAACTTTAAATTTAATATAAACATTGGTCAAAAAGTACAAGTCGGCGAATCTCTAGGTATCTTAGAGTAAGTCAATAAAGCAGCCACAATCAGTGGACTTTGGCTGATGAACTTCTTGAAAAGAAGTAAAAATTTGCACACGATCTCTATATAATCGTGATGACAATGGAAATGTTTGAGATGATGATATATGTGCCAGTAACTGAATGTGATCCGCATGCACGCGTTAAAGCGTTGTCAGAGTTAATATTTGTTTGTATAGTGTATTTTTTGTCATATTCGTTCGCTACTAAAGGAACCTGCTAAGTTAAGCTTGAAGCTTAATATTCATTGTAAACATTTTATAAGCAAGTTATGTAACATATTATAGTACAAAGCTTGTAAGCGGTTTCTTGTTTCTCTATGGAACAGAAATAGATATGATGAAAGTTTAAAATTTTTGTTTACAATTATTCAAAACTAATTTAGTTGCTCGTTTATTTAACCTATGTTTGTAAAATGTATTATAAATAATTCTTTATCATTTATGTTTGGATATTATCTGTCATCTGAAACCACTCAAACGTTTGGGGTAAAAAATGTATTTTATGATCAGATATTGTAATATTTTAAAGAAGCTAATAAAAATACATTATAAACAATATATTAAATTATTTTACAGATTCATTAGAAATGTTTAATAGTTTTTTGAAATAAATAACCAAATGGGATTTCCATGGTCGGAACTGGTAAACAAATCAATAATAATGTCGTTTTTTGAAAAGTGGTGAAAGAATTAAACAACTTTTTATGCTAAGAGACGTATGTTGTACATATTTAACTTGAACATCCGATTGAGAAGTCAAATCCGCTTATGGAAATATTTGTACTGATAAGAAATCCAAAGCGGAACTAAGAATATATGAAGTATATTAAACATCTAATAACAAAAAACGTTTGTACGATCATAGGCACATAAATTCTRGCAAATAAATATGTATCAATCAGCATTCCAAATGACCAATAGCATACCAGCCACTAAGATTTTATTTCTAAGAGCAATTACATAGTGTGCTAATTTCAATAACATTTTTTGTCATTTACCCATTTCATTTTGTATTCTATTAACGAAAAAACAATTGCGAGTAAGTACATACATATGTGTGTACATTCCACCACTAGTTGTTCTCAAATCAGAGTCATCTAAGGGCAACGAATCAAACGAAAGTATTAACATTTAAAAAAAAAAACAGATAATTTTATAAATGTGTATATGTTTTACGATTGCTGATAACGAGCCCACAACTACGTAGATTTATACTTAAATTTTCACGGTCTATTATCAGGAAATGATTTTCTGTAAATTTCAATTGACATATTTGCAATATAAAGTCAACTATTGGTGCCGGAGAACAGTTTTTTTGATTTGGACAATTTTTGGCCATAATTGCTGTCTGATTTGTAAAATCGAATGAAAAGAATCAGATGGAATTTAAAATTTTGTTATATAGGAAGTAGGCGGGGTTGGATATGTGATTTATTTAAAAGTGAGCTCTTATAAAGTCCTCTCATACCACCTCCAGAGTAAAATTTTATGTCTATGGCGCATTTTACCAGTGCCATTATAAGAGTGAGCGGTTAATGGCGTTTGTGGGCGTGGCAGTGGTCTGATTATGCCCATTTACGAACTTCGCATTACTTGTTTGGTGGACGAAACTATTATACTCTTTAACAAACTTTTTGCAAGAGTATATAAAATGGTTTGGGTCCGTCCAGATTATATTACATTTGCCACGAAATTTGTAAAGAAGCGTCGGAGACCCTATAAAATATACATATGTACATATCTATATAAATGATCAGCGTGACGAACTGAGATGATTTTTCCATATCAATCTATGTGTATACAAGTGAACTAGGCTCTGTTTTTGACATACCGCCTTTAAAATTTGCATACGTCTTTCTCTCCTCAAGTAACTCATTATAGCAAACCAAGGTTACAATCTTTCTTATATCTGACATACAACCTGATTTAAATGTAATATATTATACATATTTATGTTTTTGCAGTTTCATAAAACGTTCTCAAAAAACGAATTATAAATAATTTTTGGAAGCTATAACAATAAATATTGTATTTCATTATATTATAGTAAGCTCCATCTGCTTTCAAATTGGATGATTCTATAAAATTTGATGTATTGGGTCATATGCAACAGGACCCTTATTTGCGTACGCCTTTGTCCATTATCYTATGAATACGTATGTTGCTCCAAATAGCTTCTAAAGAAGTCATACGATATCACCTTTCATAATCTCGATGATCTTAAAAAATACAGTACGACCGGAATAACTAGTAAAAAAAATTCCTTCCTCCGAATCACCAACACTATTTTTATTATAGTTAAATTAAACAATTTATGAATAAGAAAAATATTAAAATTATATTTTAAAATATGTTTAAAATGGTTATCAACTGGTAACGATGAAGATTTTTAAACTCGATTACACTCGACGAAAAGTCGATCCATGATACAATTCCTACGATTTCGATAAATTTTGATATTTATTTTTTTACGCTTTATATAACGTCTCTGTTTTTATAGTGGCGTAAATAAACTACAGAACCATTTGGCGCAAGTAACTAATGTCATTTCAATAGCATCTTACCAGCTGCAACATTTAGTCGTTTTATTTATATAATTAGTTATTTTTGTCCATTGGACCTATATAACAAAAATGATAATTAAAGTTATTGGAATCTCTACAACTTTGGGAATGCGGAGTAACTAAAATTGTTTTTGGTTTTCTGAGCTGATGTTTAAATATGTTAATAAACACTTTATTTTGCAGATTTGGCTATACGTAATTTGGCAAGGATATCTAGTAACTTATACCACCTTAATATAACGCAGCGAGAAGTTCTTCAATGTTCTATCAAAACTTACCCGGTGTCCAAAAATTTTCAGATCATAAATTTTAGCACGGAAAACTCACACCGAAAACCAATACCGTCTGTACAATATAATGATATCAAGGAGTTACCGAATCATCCTGAAAAATTATTAATAGATGTGCGAGAGTTACAAGAACTAGAAGAAACAGGAAAGATTCCAACAAGTATAAATATTCCGTTAGACTCCGTGGTGCAGGTACTGGCCGAAGACGTTAGACCTCAAATGTTCCTGTCTAAATATGGTCGCCGAAAGCCAACTTTTGATGATGAAATAATTTTTACATGTAGGAGTGGAAAACGTGCCTTAAAAGCTGCAGAAATTGCAAATGCAATGGGATTTAAAACTGTAAAATTTTATGAAGGATCATGGGAGGATTGGGTCAAAAATGAAGAAAAAAATTAAAATTACAAGATTCTTTTAACGAATTGCCAGGCGCTTCTAAATGACCCAACATTTTTTTTCTACATAGCCAGAATGAACCGGTCTGGGTCTGCCGCTTCCGTTGCTATGCTGTAAAAATTTCAATAGACTACTTTTGTTTAATACAATTTTTTTCCTAAATTATACCATATTATCTGTTAAATATTTCAACAAAACATTCTACTTATGTATATTTATTGATAAATAATGTTTGAAATGCTTGACTATGGATTTAGATAAAGACTCTTTAACTGCTGAATACAGTTTGTGTAACAGATGGAGTGCAAGCTTATGATATTGGTATATATAAGAATTTTGCATTTAAATGAACAATCTTTGCATTTACCTCTAAAAACTATTATAAACTATKCACATTTTTATTATGAAATAAATAACATTGCTTTGCTTTCAAATAAGAAAAAATATAGACTTTAATTTTTAGTCGAATAAATTACTGAAATTTTGGTACATTCAAAGCAAGTTGGTATCATAGATCTACACATTTATCTAAATGCCGAATAATTTACTTTAAGACTGATCAAATTTATTTTATATTTCCCTTGCTTTGTCATTCATTAACTTAATAATAATTTTTATGTTAATATTTTAACATGAACTAATGATTACTGTTGATGGCTTTTATACAAAAATTTCCCTTTATGAAAATACTAAGCATAAAATAAGTGCGAAATAGATGCCAATATGTTTACATAGAAATATCATTTAGCGCAAACTTATTAAAATTAACATATTGCCCAAAAAATACATACGAATATATGAATGTACGATATATATATAAATCTGGTATTGCAGAATAACAAGCACAGATTTGAGGTAAACAACTTATTAGCAATAATAGAAACCTACATCAACAACATACGTTTGGTCTTATTTGTTTTGTTTTATTTTGTTTCAAAGATGTTAATGAATAGCAAAAACAATTAAAAATAGTACAAGCAAAATGGCTATCATCAGTTTAATGAGATTTAAAAGTTAATTTTTTCTGTTTGTTTCTAATTACAATTTTAGAGAAATTCCAATAATAATTAAATAAGATATTAATACTCTAGCACAGTTTACTGTCCTGCAAATGGTTATTAATAAGAAAAAAAAATAAACTTAGTTAAATTGGCATCACCAAATGTTTCCGTAGGTTCCCTTAATATATAGAGCATTATAACTTTATAACCCATTCACATTGTCTGCATTTGAACTAACAATCTATCGCTTAGTAGTCAGTAGCCTATGCACCAGCCCGGTGCCTAATGATTGAAAGTATCGACTATAAATGCAACCATGGGCTCATCGTTATTGACTCTTCTTATCAAACTTCAGAAGAAAATTTTTAAGTAGTAAACACTTCATGTGCCTGCTTACTTGTACAATATTGAGCATTGTAGATGACTAGCGTAAAAGTAAATAAAGGGGAATTGAAACYTTTTAGTCAGTTGAAGCAAAGGTAGTGGCCGTGTCAGTTGAAATTCATTTTAGTAGTAATTAACAAAGGGATGACCCAATAATATACGTATTTTGGGTATACATATACATCTGGCCGGTTCAACAATATAGTCCTGTCTGATAAGAAAAATATTTGGTTTAGCAAATTTTAAAAAACAAGAGTGAGTACATATACATATTTTTAACCTACTTACATTTATATTCACCTGCGAAATAAGCCGACCTTTGATGCGTTCAGTGGAAATTTTATATTAATTATACATGTACATATGTATATACATATATGTATTTAATATAAAAAAAAGCTTACAAAACCTAAAGGTTAACTGAATATTGTCGATAAATAATTAAATTATTTGTTTCTCAATCGAGATAAGATAGTTACTATCACAAAATCTGTTTATTAACAATCTGCAGCCTAAGTTCGCTTTGGTCCAAAGTGCGTGAGTGTTTTTATTTTTTCTGAAACTATGCACTCATTCATGTGCATATACTTTAGAAATATATTTTAGAATGATTATATTATTCGTTATACATATATATAGTACATATCAGGGTATGTATTTAAATAACGGCTAAAATGTTTATTTACGTCAAGTTTGTAGTATACCATCATGACTACCTTGCTTCCTGGAAATATCGTCTATGCCGGACCTATTACTTGCACTGAAACTCATGCATACAATTCTCTAGGACATTATATTCTGGAGAAATATAAGAGTTATGGTACCCAAACAGTAATGATTGACGCAGTAACCGGACAAGAGTATACTGCTAAATATATGCATGATTCCGTTGTGCGCATGGCTCATGTATTACAGCATTTAGGTATCAAAGCAGGAGATGTTGTAGGATTGTCCAGCGAGAATAATGTACGTTTCGCTATTACAATGTACGCTGCATTTGCCATAAACGCTACGGTGGCTCCCCTAAACATAACTTATTCTGAACGTAAGTAAATCTTATTTTTAAAATTATTTCAAAATATATCAAATCTTTGGTGCAGGTGAAGTTCATCACGCAATTAACTTGTCTAAGCCGAAAGTGATATTCGCTTCCAAGCTCACAGTAAATGTTATTGAAAAAGTGGCAAAAAATAATAGTTTCGTGAAATCAATTGTTGTACTTGACCCTTGTAGTTCAAATGACAAAATTTTGAATTTTGACGAGCTTATGAAGAGTAAAAAAATTGCATCAAAAGACTACTTCGATACGGCGCCAGCGAATAAAAAAGATGATGTCGCACTGATCATTTGCTCCTCTGGCACCACCGGCTTGCCGAAAGGCGTGCAACTAACACAATACAACATTCTTTTTACACTGGATTCGAACCTGTTAGTTAAAAGAAATTTTAATTTTTTCTCATAAAAGACTGTTTGCGACCTAGATATTATTTTTGAATATTTTAATAGTGAACCAACATCAATTCCAATGGGCGAGATTACATTACTCACAGTTATACCTTGGTTTCACGCATTTGGCTGTATAACATTAATTACAACAACAGTTTTAGGAACCACCTTAGTGTATTTACCTAAATTTGAGGAAAATCTTTTCTTGGGAGCCATTCAGGTGAATAACGACTAGCTGGATTTTAGTTAATGTATGATATAGTAATTACAATAGAAAATGTTGTCTTCAAGAGATTGATATGATTTGAAAATTCGATTTTCCTTAAGCTATTTTATTTTTACCTCACTTTATATTAACTCACAATTTTTTTGTATTTACATTCTAGAAATATCGCGTTTTGATGGCATTTATGGTGCCGCCATTAATGGTATTCTTGGCTAAACATCCACTTGTGGATAAATATGATTTGTCATCACTTATGGTTTTGCTTTGCGGTGCAGCACCACTAAGCAAGGACACTCAGGATTTGATTACAGAGAGGTATGTGTCAAATAAGAAATTTGCGTTAAAAAAAACTACATATTTTTGTATGCATTTTAGGATTGGCGTGCCCATTATTCGTCAAGGTTATGGTTTAAGTGAGTCGACGCTTAGCCTGTTGGTACAAAATGATGAGGCGTGCAAGCCAGGAAGTGTCGGCAGCATAAAATTGGGTATTTACGGTAAAGTTATTGACACGGAAACTGGTAGAGCTCTTGGTCCTAATCAACGAGGCGAATTGTGCTTCAAAGGCGATTGTATTATGAAAGGTTACATAGGGGATACCAAATCTACGCAATCTATGATAATTGACGGTTGGCTGCATACCGGTGATATTGGTTATTTTGATGACGATTTCGAATTTTTCATAGTGGATCGTATTAAGGAACTCATTAAATATAAAGGTTTCCAAGTGCCTCCAGCAGAAATTGAAGCTCTATTGTTGACAAATAAAAAAATTAATGATGCAGCAGTCATTGGAAAGCCGGACGAAGAGTCTGGAGAATTACCGTTGGCATTTGTTGTTAAACAACCAAATGTTGAGCTAAGCGAAGAAGAAGTTATTAAATTTGTAGCAGAGCACGCATCGCCAGCGAAACGTTTGCGTGGTGGTGTGATTTTCGTCAACAACATTCCAAAAAACCTAAGTGGTAAAATTTTACGTCGCGAGTTAAGAGAATTACTGAAAAATCGTCGATCAAAATTATAAATTTTCTGCTTTGTTTATGGATATATGTACGCAGAAATACAACAACTTGCATTTAATTAATTTATAAGATTTATGGTATGGGGAAGCAGCCTTTTTGAAAGGGAAACAAATATTTTCATTCGTTTATTGGTTATGGGGTGAAGTTTAATTGTAAAATTCTGTACTAAAAACGAATAGTTATGCAAAAAATTTAATATTCCTTAAAAAWATAACAGGACAAAAGAAACCACAAATGTGTATTTACTGGCAACTATGGCAAATAAATTGAGAATATTTTCAATTATTTATTAKAAATATATACATGTGTACATATACATACGTATAAGACGTGCTTGAATATGGTTTCACTTCTTGATTTAATCAGAGCTGTACGAAATTTTAATGAAGTCAATTTTACGCTAACAGGTTCATTAACACCGTAAATCATGAGGAAACATAGCATTATAGCCCTAGACATTATTAAATTTGACAACAAAGTTTTAATTTGTATTTTAGTTTTGAAGCTGCCAGAAATCAGATATTCGCAGTAGAATTGAACTCTTTAGAGTAAACAGGTAAGTTACTTTGAAAGTTCGAAATATCGTGTACGAAATTAAACTAAGATAATACAAAAAATGTATGAATGAGCAAAATTTGTTATAACTACTTTATTTGACTTTCCTAAAATTGTGTTTACAATATGAATATAACACTGCAAACTTTTATTGAATACACTTAACACTTCTGCAAATGATACACTATTTTTTCTTATCTTCCTTCTGAGGTTTTAAATAATACTTAAGACAGTTTGGAAGAACACTGATTGCATGTTGCCCAAGGTGTTATTTTATTAAGACACAGGTAGACAGGTTTTCTACGTTAAYTTGCTTAAAATTAATTTGAATCCATACAGGCATATTCAGAAAATTTACTTTATATATATGTAATATGTAATTTTGTACATATGA